AAAAAAAAAAAAAAAAAGAAAAGAAAATATTGGAAGCAAGGCAGTAGAGTTACTGAATACAGACAACCCTTAGTCTGTTCTCACACTGCTAATAAAGACATATCCAAGACGGGTAATTTATAAAGGAAAGAGGTTTAATTGACTCACAGTTCCACATGGCTAGGGAGGCCTCACAACCATTGCAGAAGGTGAATGAGGAGCAAAGTCACATCTTACATGACAGCAGGCAAGAGAGCTTGTATAGGGGAATTCCCCTTTATAAACCATCAGATCTTGTGAGACCTACTGTCACAAGAACAGCATGGGAAAGACCCACCCCCATGATTCAGTTACCTCACACCAGGTCCTTCCCATGTCATGTGGGAATTACAGGAGCTATAATTCATGATGAGATTTGGATGGGGACATGGCCAACCCATATCAACCCCTTCAAGGAGTTTTGTAGTAAACAGAAGCAGAGAAATGGAACTATAGCTGGAGACGGGACGGAGTCAAGGAGATCCTGGTAGAAATGATCTAGTAGAGGAAAAACTAATGATGCCAGGGAGAAAAGGGACCATTATAAGAAAATGGAATCCAGTCCACCAGTGGAGAGTCTGGCTTTAGATAAAAGTACAGATAGTTCATCTATTGTAAGAAGACAGGCAGATAATTTATTAATACAAATACAGGTGAGTTGGTAGATTTGATGGTGTAATCACTTAGATGTTTTCTTTGATTGCCTCTCCGTGAAATAAAGGAGGTTGGGACCTGGGAGTAAGGAGGGAAGAGAAGGTGTTGGAAGTTTGAAGAGAGATGTGAAATATTTGTCTCAGAGAATAGAAGAGTAAATTGACCAGAGTCTATTGGGAGAGACTGGGCATGGTGGCTCACGCCTGTAATCCTAGCACTTTGGGAGACCAAGGCCGGTGCGTCACTTGAGGCCAGGAGTTCAAGACCAGCCTGGCTGACATGGTGAAAACCCATCTCTACTAAAAATACAAAAATTAGCTGGGTGTGGTGGTGCATGCCTATAGACCCAGCTACTTGGGAGGCTGGGGCAGGAGAATATCTTGAACCCAGGAGGCAGAGGTTGCAGTGAGCTGAAATTGTACCACTGCACTCCAGCCTGGACAACAGAGCGAGACTCTCTCAAAAAAAAAAAAAAATTAGAAGAACTAGGCACCATTAAGAGTGCAATTACAATAGTGGTCATGAGTTTGAAGTGAGAAAGGTCAGAACAGATGCGTTTTGTTCTCCGGCTATGTCCCCCTGCTCTGATGTAGGCTTGGAACATGTGGACGATTGGATTTAACCAGAGTTGGAGGTTTGGGTTTTGTTGGGGTTTTTTCTTTGAGACAAAGTCTTGCTCTGTTACCCAGGCTGGAGTGCAGTGGTGCTGTCTCTGCTCACTGCAACCCCACCTCTCAAGTTCAAGCGATTCTCTGCCTCAGCCTCTGGAGTAGCTGAGATTATAGGTGCCCACCACCATGCCCAGCTAATTTTTGTATTTTTAGTAGAGGCAGGGTTTCACCATCTTGGCCAGGCTGGTCTTGAACTCCTGGCCTTGTGATCCACCCACCTCAGCCTCCCAAAGTGCTGGGATTACAGACATTAGCCACCACGCCCAGCCATCAGAGTTGGAGTTTTGTCAGAGAGTTGATGGTATATGCTAGGGAGTGGTTATTATGACCCTTGGAGTACAGGCCAGGTATGGGTAGAAGTGAGACATGAGGGAGTCAGAGGGCTGGTTCATCTCTCAGCCTGTTTCCTCCACAGATCTGTATGCCACAACCCATTTTAATAGTGACCCTGCTTTACTCGTCAATGTAGAGCAACAATTATCCACCAGCTTCGGCGATTTAACACCAGCACACGGTTCTGTCTCAAACAACGCTGTCCTGGGAAACAGGGCAACTCCTCTGCAGACACTGCTCTTGTCTCCTGGGACTTCAGAAGACAGAGAGATTTTTACCAAGAGGTCATTAAGCCCATCGAAGAGAGGATTCAAATGGAAGGACAATATTCTTGCCAACCTGAATCCCAAGCATGGTTTCCGAGATGCTACAGGCAGCGAGGCAAGTGTTGGCTTGTTTGTGTTTGTGCAAGAAACATGTCAGGTTCAAGACCAGAATAAGGGTTCTGTTAGGAGTGGAGGTGGTTCTGACCAACAGGGCTAAAAGTTCAAAGAGATTTTCAGAGACTGGTGGCTAATACTGCCAGGTTAATGCTTTTGAGTCTTCTGCCATTGGGAAAGTCATTCCTCCACTCCTGCCATTTTCTCTCTTCTATCACAGGGAGAACTGTCCCTGATCTACTTCCAGCTCAAGACTGATCTTTGTAGTATCTGTGTTTACAGCCTCATCATATTTACACTTTTGCTTCTGCCACACATGACTAACTTGAAATAGTTCGTATAAAAGCATTGCTTTAGGCTGGGTGCAGTAGTGTGCGCCTGTAATCCCAGCACTTTGGGAGGCCAAGTGGGTAGATCACCTGAGGTTAAGAGTTCAAGAACAGCCAGGTCAACATGGCGAAACCCTGTCTCTACTAAAAAAATACAAAAATTAGCTGGGTGTGGTGGCGTGCGCCTATAGTCCCAGCTACTCTGCTCAGGAGGCTGAGGCAGGAGGCTCGCTTGAATCTGGGAGGCAGAGGTTGTAGTGAGCCGAGATTGTGCCACTGCACTCCAGCCTGGGTGCCAGAGTGACTCAGTTTCATAAAAAATAATAATAAAAGCATTGCTTTGCTTTTCTGTCTAGAAGTTAAAATGATTTAAATTTTTTTCCCAATGTAACAGCAAGCAGATGAATTAGATTATCCAAAGAATTTTTAGCTGAAAGTAGTTCAGAGAATGAAAAATCAAGAATCTGTCCCACATAAACAATATACATATAATTCATTTTACAAAATCTCATAGTATGATAGTGTCATACAATAAAACTTTATCATTATCAGTTCTTAAGTTTTGCTCCAGCCTTTGCATACATCCCTCAAGGAGAATGCCTTCCACTCTCCTTTCTTGTCTGTTTGAATGTTCATTTTTCTCCAGGCTCTACTTCCATCATAAGGAAGATCCATCCATGTGGTTAGAGGAACCCCAGCTCTTAGGGTCCTCTCTTCCCTTGGACCCAAGAACCTTTGCCATAGAAACCATCTGTCAATTAATCATTTACTGCCCTGTAAGGAAGCAGTAGATCTTGGTCAAAAACAGCCATTTCTAGTTACTTATTTTTCAGTTGTTGGAAATCTTACATATTGAGGTGGGTTTACAGGGTTTTTGTTTTTTTACTGTTTAAAGACTTTCTATTCAGTTTTCAGAACTTTGGAAGTAGCTATAATTTTTGTGCACCAAAGGGGGCAGTCTTGTAATGTTTTGTTTAGTTTTTTGGCCTCTTTTTAGTCTCAGTCCCTCACGCCTATTTTACCAGACAAGAACACTAACTGTGTGTTAATGTATTTAGAGTAAAGATCCAGAAACCGCATATTTGGGATGTTATATTAGTAAGACATGCTCTAGGAAATTTTTTTAACCTCTATTTCATGTTCTATTGTTAAAATCTGGCTAGATAGTGTGGCTAACACCTGTAAACCCAATGCTTTGGGAGGCCGAGGTGGAGGATCACTTGAAGCCAGGAGTTTAAGACCAGCCTGGGCAACATAGGAGACCCTCTCTCTACAAAAAAAAAATAATAAATAAGTAAATGTTAAAATTTCAATGTGCTGTTCTAGACCTTAAAAACTCCTATTTCTTTTTTTCTGTTAGACATTATTTTTCTCTTTATGGAAAGCTTTAAGAGAGCTGCTGAGTATAAAAGAAATATACTCTAATTTCTGAAAGGTGTAAGTCAGAAAATTTCCAAAAATTTTTAAGCATTTTTTAAGTTTGTTTTGTTTTGTTTTTTGAGATGGAGTTTCGCTCTTGTTACCCAGGCTGGAGTGCAATGGCACGATCTCGGCTCACCGCAACCTCTGCCTCCTGGGTTCAAGCAATTCTCCTGCCTCAGCCTCCCGAGTAGCTGGGACTACAGGCGTGCGCCACCATGCCCAGCTAATTTTTGTATTTTTAGTAGAGACGGGGTTTTACCATGTTGACCAGGATGGTCTCGATCTCTTGATCTCGTGATCCACCTGCCTCGGCCTCCCAAAGTGCTGGGATTACAAGCGTGAGCCACCGCGCCCAGCCTTGTTTCGTTCTTTAAGGCAGGCCTGGGCCCGGCACAGTGGTTCATGCCTGTAATCCCAGCACTTTGGAAGGCCAAGGCAGTTAGATCACCTGAGGTCAGGAGTTTGAGACCAGCCTGGCCAACATGGTAAAACCACGACTCTACTAAAAATACAAAAACTTAGCCAGATGCGGTGGCATGTTACCTGCAGTCCCAGCTACTCAGGAGGCCGAGGCAGGAGAATCACTTTAACCCGGGAGGCAGAGATTGCAGTGAGCCAACATCAGGCCACTGCACTCCAGCCTGAGTGACAGAGCAAGACTCTATCTCAAACACACACACACACACCACCACTACCACCACCACCACCAACAACAAAATAACCAGGCATGGTGGCTTATGCCTGTAATCCCAGCACTTTGGAAGGCCTAGGCAGGCAGATCACTCCAGGCAGGCCAGGAGTTTTTGAGCAGACTGGCCAACATGGCAAAACCCTATCTCCACTAAAAATACAAAAATTAGCTGGGCATGGTGGTGCACACCTGTAATCCCAGCTACTTTGGTGACTGAGTCACGAGAATTGCTTGAACCTGGGAGGCAGAGGTTGCAGTGAACAGAGATCATGCCACTGCAGTCTAGCCTGGGCAATAGAGTGAGACTCTATCTCAATAAATAAACAAATGAAATATAGAATTTGTCAGGCATGGTGATGCACACCTGTAGTCCCAGCTATTCGGGAAGCTAAGGTAGGAGAATCGCTTGAACCGGGAGTTCAAGGCTGCAGTGTGTCAAGATCACACCACTGCACTCTAGCCTAGGTACAGAGTGAGACCCTGTCCTAAATATTATAGAATATTTATGTTTATTATATATTAATATATTGAATATAAGCTTACTTTGAGTTATAATTTATTATATTACTCCTCCATTTATTTTGTAAAAACTATTTTTTAAATGTTCTGCAATTTAATCTTTCTGTTATATAACATTGAACCATAGATGTAGGTGTCAAATAACAAATTTTTAATTTTCTTCTGAAAATTTCTATTATTATTGTGTATGTGTGTGTGTGTGTTTATGACATAGCCTTGCTCTGTCACCCAGGCTTAAGAGCAGTGGCACAATCTTGGCTCACTGCAACCTCCCCCTCCTGGGTTCAAGCAATTCTCCTGCCTCAGCCTCCTGAGAAGCTGGAATTACAGGCGCCCACTACCATGCCTGGCTAATATTTGTATTTTTAGTAGAGACGGGGATTCACCATGTTGGCCAGGCTGGTGTCAAACTCCTGAGCTCAAGTGATCTGCCCACCTCGGCCTCCCAAAGTGCTAGGATTACAGGTGTGAGCCACTGTGCCTAGCCTGAAAATTTCTGTTAAAAATTGTGATAGAAGATACTGTTACCTTGAAATTATCCTTGAATATCTTATGTTTTTGTCTTGGGCATAAATGCCATTCAAATCCAAACTGAAAGATGAAATCATCTTTTTACTTTTAAAAAAATCTAAATGTCTAAATTCTTACTTCCCTTATTGTGTAAGAATGACAAATGGGGGGGCCGGGCGCGGTGGCTCACGCCTGTAATCCCAGCACTTTGGGAGGCCAAGGCGGGTGGATCACGAGGTCAAGAGATCGAGACCATCCTCGTCAAAATGGTGAAACCCTGTCTCTACTAAAAATACAAAAAATTAGCTGGGCATGGTGGCGCGTGCCTGTAATCCCAGCTACTCAGGAGGCTGAGTCAGGAGAATTGCCTGAACCCAGGAGGCGGAGGTTGTGGTGAGCCGAGATTGCGCCATTGCGCTCCAGCCTGGGTAACAAGAGCGAAACTCCGTCTCAAAAAAAAAAAAAAAAGAATGACAAATGGTTGGGGTTTTATTTTTTTTATTGTTTTTTTTTTTTTTTTTTTTTTTTTTTTTTTTTTTTTTTTTTTTTTTTTTTTTTTTTTTTTTTTTTTTTTTTTTTTTTTCTCTTGAGCCTCTCTCTAGTGACCTGGATAGTTTGCATGGTTTGCCTGGAAACCACAGTCCCCCAATCTCTGCCAGAACCCCCCATGTGGCTACTGTCCTCAGACAGCTCCTGGAGCTTGTGGATAAGCACTGGAATGGCTCCGGCTCCCTCCTCCTCAACAAGAAATTTCTCGGTAAGTGAATGCATTCTCTGTCCCTGGAGAGGAGCTGGACTTCGCTTCTGCTCTGTGTTCTGCTAAAAGCCACTTAGCCCGCTTCACTTGCAAGAAAAGTTGTTCTCATGATCGCATCCTGAAACATCTTAGAGACACCATAGTTAACAAGTCTGCATTTTTCTTATATTCTTTTTCATTATTTTAAAGAAGCATCACCTTTTCCAGTTGTTTTATAATGATCGTTTTGTTCCTTCTGTGAATTTTTGGTAGTTTTTGGTAATATAGAGAGTAACCAGATGTGTAAATTAGTGACTATATTAATTTTTTCTAAGATTTTATGATCCTTGGGAAAGTGCCAATAATGAATACAACAGAAATTGGGTTTGATCATCAGAGTTTTGAGATGACTGTTAGAATGTTATGATTTGAAAAACTCAAATGAGTAAATTACCTGGACTCTCTTTAGTGGTTCTTTTTTAGAAACATGGTGGAAAACAGTTTTGTAAATGTTGGCTTCGTGCATTTATTTGTTGTTGTTTTCTTTTTGATCCTTAACATGTTTACTGGCTATTTAATAGAAGAATAAGGAACTTTTGGGGGTGGTAAAAGTTTAAGTAAAAACTAGAAACTTGGCCAGGTGCAGTGGCTCATGCCTGTAATCTTTGGGAGGCTGAGGTGGGTGGATCACAAGGTCAGGAGCTCGAGACCAGCCTGGCCAAGATGGTGAAACCCCATCTCTACTAAAAATACAAAAATTAGCTGGGCATGGTGGTGTGCACCTGTAATCCCAGCTACTCAGGAGGCTGAGGCAGGAGAATTGCTTGAACCCAGGAGGCAGAGGTTGCAGTGAGCCAAGATCATGCCATAGCACTCCAGCCTGGGCAACAAAGCAAGACTCTGTCTCGGGGGTGGGGGTGGAACCTAGAGGCTTGAAAGTTTCTTGGCCTTGAAAAACAACTTTTAAAAAATGTTGGGGAAAAAAAATTGAGGAGAGTTAGCATTTTTTGGTGGGGGGGAAAAAACACATAAAAATGTCTAGGCCAGGCGCAGTGGCTCACACCTGTAATCCCAACACTTTGGGAGGCCGAGGTGAGCAGATCACGAGGTCAGAAGATCAAGACCATCCTGGCCAACATGGTGAAACCCTGTCTCTGCTAAAAATACAAAAATTAGCTGGGTGTGATGGTGCACACTTGTAATTTCAGCTACTTGGAGGCTGAGGCAGGAGAATGGCTTGAACCCAGGAGGTGGAGATTGCAGTGAGCTGAGATTGCAGCCTGGTGACAGGGCGAGACTCTACCTTAGGGGAAAAAAAAAAAAAAGTCTAAAGGGACATACAGAAGAGGAAATCCTAACACAGTTATTTTCCTTCCCATGTTGACCTATTGCTTCCATTTTTAGGAAATTATCCCCAGGGCCACGAAACAATGATTAAGAAATCATGCACTCACAAGGGGCTGCTGATATTTCTCCATAGGATATAATTTCTATCTTTCTTTCTTTCTTTTTGAGACAGTTTCATTCTTGTTGCCCATGCTGGAGTGCAGTGGTATGATCTCGGCTCACTGCAACCTCCACCTCCCAAATTCAAGTAATTCTCCTGCCTCAGCCTCTAGAGTAGCTGGGATTACAGGCACCCACCACCAAGCATGGCTATTTTTTTTTTTCTTTTGGTAGAGATGGGTTTCTCCATATTGGTCAGGCTGGTCTCAAACTCCTGACTTCAGGTGATTCCCCCTCACCTTGACCTCCCAAAGTGCTGGGATTATAGGCATGAGCCACTGTGCCTGGCCTATAATTTCTTGTCCTCTTAAAAACACCTCTCTCAGTCACTTACTAAATTCTGGTAAAAAGGAGATATTAGATTACCCTACTTGATCCAGAGAGCTGGTAGTTACTCACTGGGAATGCTATGCTTTAGCTTTTAAGATTGGCCCATGTGCCCATCCTGAATTTTTGGCAGGTCCTGCCCGAGATTTGCTTCTGTCTTTGGTAGTCCCGGCTCCTTCTCAGCCGAGGTATCGCTCACATCCTGAAGACACGACGAAAGCCTTCTGCAGGAGGGAGGTTGAACTGAAGGAGGCTGGGCAGCTGGTCCCTAATGACATGGTATGCCCCTCTCATATTCCTTTAGAAAAAAAACAGAGCAGCAGGACAAGAACATCTCTGTGCCCTAATGATCAGCATCACCACAAACATCTAACCAAAACATGGCAAAAGTGTGGGCATAGCAGGAATACAAAACTTGAGAGAACAGGGACAACTTGGAAATTCTGCAGGGATGACTCCCTCATTCTAACCCTAATCCAAAAATTCTAAAGAAAGACTCAAAATGAGAAGAAACAAATGAACAAAAATTCCAAAACACCCTAGAGTGGAAATGTTCAGGATCATATTCTTGAAGGTTCTGGTTTGATCCCAGCAAATGTATCTGGGATTATTTTTCCTCCCTTCTAATGAAGCTGAGAGACATGAACCAGGGGCCAGGGTCCATTCTAGAGCATCAGCCTACTGGCTTCAGGAGAGGAAGAAGGACATATCCCCATGCTTTGTTCTCTTTTCTTTCCTTTTTTTTTTTTTTTTTTGACGGGGTGGTGAAGCAGAGTCTCACTCTTGTCACCCAGGCTGGAGTGCAGTGGTGCCATCTTGGCTCACTGTAACCTCCGCCTCCTGGGTTCAAACCATTCTCCCTGCCTCAGCCTCCCGAGTAGCTGGGATTACAGGTGTCTGCCACCACACCTGGCTAACTTTTGTATTTTTAGTGGGGACGGGGTTTCACCATTTTGGGCAGGGTGGTCTCGAACTCCTGCCTTAGGTGATCCACCCACCTTGGCCTCCCAAACTGCTGAGATTACAGGCATGAGCCACTGTACCTGGCTGCTTTTCTTAACATTAAAGGATTTTCAGACACCAAGTTCAGTTCTAGAAACTTTAGATAGTTGACTAAGAATGCTGGCTACTTGTCAAAATGACCATTTGTTCTGCAATAGTAGATAACTCATAAGAAAGATTGCTAGTCCATGTGATAAATTTGTTTACTGCATTTGAGTTGTATTTACCAATAAATTAAAACTTTAGTGAGAAAGAGACGCTGACTTCCATTAAGTTTATCACTAAATAGAGGTAAAGAGCTTTCAGTTCTATAAACATGCCTTAGAATGTCAGATTTTTTTTTTTTTCTGAGATGGAATCTCATTCTGTCACCCAGGCTGGAGTACAGTGGCACTATTTTGGCTCACTGCAACCTTCGCCTCCCGGGTTCAAGCTATTCTCCTGTCTCAGCCTTCTAAATTGCTGGGATTACAGGCACACACTGCCGCACCTGGCTAATTTTTTCATATTTTAGTAGAGACTGGGTTTCACCCTGTTGCCCAGGCTGATCTTGAACTCCTGAGCTCAGGTAATCCACCAGCCTTGGCCTCCCAAAGTGCTAGGATGACAGGGGTGAGCCACCGCACCCAGCCTAGAATGTCAGATTCTTAATGTACTTGTATTTTGTTTTCTGATCTAAAGGAAAGTTTGAAGCAAAAACTGGTCAGAGTGCTGGAGGAAAACCTCATTTTGTCAGAAAAAATTCAACAGTTGGAGGAAGGTGCTGCCATCTCAATTGTGAGCAGGCAACAGTCACATACTTATGGTAAGTTGAGGAAAGCCATGATAGATGGGACCTCTCAAGACAACTGTTTGTTTATAGATGACCCATTTAGTAACCTTCATCATGCTAGCTCATGTGGCTGCCTTTGGCCTACTTGGTCATCAGTTTTCCTGGCAGTTAACGGAAACAATCATCTTGCCTCAGAGAATTGTAATGCAGGTGGCTTGAGTTACCAGATGAAGCTCTTGTCAGTGGATATCATGTACAAATGTTGTTACTATTGCCATTAATTTTGAGAATGACACATGTTTTTGTGATTATAGCAGTAAGAACATGTTCTTTGTAGAAAGTTTGGAAAACACAAGGAAAATATAACCCCATAATCCAGCAATAACTTCCATTAGTGTTTTCGGTATATTTTCTTCTACCTTACCTCTCTGTATATTTTTAACTCCAAATTTAAAATTGTGGCTGGGCAGGTGCAGTGACTCACACCTACAATCCCAGCACTTTGGGAGGACAAGGTGGGAGGATTGCTTGAGGCCAGGAGCTCAAGACCAGTCTGGGAAACATAGTGAGATCCCATCCCTATAAAAAATAAGAAATTAGCCAGGCACTGGTGTGTACCTATAGAGCCAAAGAGGCTGAGGCAGAAGGATCATTTGAGCCCAGCAGTTCAAGGTTAGAGTAAGTCTTGATCACACCACTGCAGTCTGGCCTGGGCAAGAGAGACCCTGTCTCAAGAAAACACAGATAAAAATAGGCCAGGTGCGGTGGCTCACGCCTGTAATCTCAGCACTTTGGGAGGCCAAGGCAGGCGGATCACTTGAACTCAGGCCAAGACCAGCCTGGCCAACATGGTGAAACCCTGTCTCTACTAAAAATACAAAACTTAGCCGGGCATAGTGACAGGTGCCTGTAATCCCAGCTACTCATGAGGCTGAGGTAGGAAAATTGCTTTGACCCAGGAGGCAGAGGTTGCAGTGAGCCAAGCACTCCAGCCTGGACAACAGAACAAGGCTCCCTCTCAAAAAATAATAATAAATAATAAAACTGTGTCCTGGTTTTAAAAAACCTTTTACATACAATTAGATGCACACATTTTAAGTCTGATCTCAATCAAAATACAGAACATTGCTAGAAAATTTCTTCATACCTTTGTGTAGTCAGTTTTGCCTTCTATTGACCCAAGTAATCACAGACCTGATTTCTACATCCTAATGTTATTAATTTCATAGTATAGGCATTTCTACAATATCACAGCAATATACCATATCTATTTAGTCTCTATAGAGTTGTTTTTAATGTTTGCTGTTATAAAGCTACCATTAATTATAATGGTTATATAATAGTTAGAATATAAATAATTTTAAATAATTTCTATTCCTTCACTAGAGAATGAAAGAACAAATTAAAATAATAATTTCTAAACATTCAAAAGAAGGACCTGAAGTGACGGAAAAGACCCTAGAATCGAAATGCTTTTCTGAGATTAACGTTCTTCCCTTTTGATGGAGCTGAGAGTCCTAATATCTAATATTTATACTATTATAAATAATGCTGCTATTAATGTCTATATACAGAAATCTTTGGTACATTTCAGACTATTTTGCTAGGAGACAGTCCTAGAAGTAGAATTAATGGGTCAAAGAATGGGATATTTTTGCGGCTTTTGTTACATAAATAACTCCCAAGAAAGTTGTTTCAATTTACACTCACCTCAGCAGTGTACTTGAATACCCCTTCAATCCACCCTGCCAACAACACTGGGCATTTTTTCAAAATTTGCCATTGTGATAAGTGAAAAATAATATCCTATTTAAATCTTGATTGTACTACTTTATTATCAGTATAGTTTAGGCCAGTATTTTAGATAAAGTTTGCCCTTGACAGACTAGCTCAGCACCCTTAAGCAAATTACAGGTATATGGATTTATATGAAGAACTTGATTTTGAAGTTCTGATATGGAAGCACTGAATTTCCATTGCTAAATCTCAGCACTAAATAAATAAATAAATATTAGCAGTATCTGTTACCCACAAGCTTGAATAATCAAGGTATCAGTCTCCACTTACCTACTTTGAAATTAAAGGTAGGTATTTATCCACTAGATTCTTACTTTCATTCAGCCAGGAGGCCCAGTATAGTATTTTGGCTTACTGGTGATAAACAAGCTTTTGCAGCCTTGTTTTCCATCTTCTGGAACCCTCCTACTCAAGATGTGATCCACATTAGTATCACCTGGGAACGCGCTAAACAAATGGGGCCTCACCTCAGACCTACTGAATTAAAACCTATTTTTGGCAAGATCCCCAGGTGACTTGTAAGCAAAATAAAGTTTAAGGCCGGGCATGGTGGTTCACGTCTGTAATCTCAGTTCTTTGGGAGGCCAAGGTGGACGGATCCCCTGAGGTCTCGACACCAGCTTGGCCAACATGATGAAACCCTGTCTCTACTAAAAATACAAAATTAGGTGGGCATGGTGGCACACGCCTATAATCCCAGCTTCTTGGGAGGCTGAGGCAGGAGAATCACTTGAACCTGGGAGGCAGAGGTTACAGTGAGCCGAGAACAAGCTATTGCACTCCAGCCTGGGAGTGCATCTCTTTTCCATCACAAAAGAAAAAAAAAAGTTTAAGAAGCACGATTATAGGCCGGGCGCGGTGGCTCAAGCCTGTAATCCCAGCACTTTGGGAGGCCGAGGCGGGTGGATCACGAGGTCAACAGATCGAGACCATCCTGGTCAACATGGTGAAACCCCGTCTCTACTAAAACTAC